ATTTCTGCTGCTCATAGGATGAGTATCAGGCTTTGGTGCCCAGAAATGGTGATCTGGTTGTTCATGACATCTATTTTTGTTGTCTTTGAGCAATAAGGTGACATTTAAGACATCTCTGATAATGCTGTTCTGTCTCAGGGGCATTATACACACGCAAATGTGTAATACAAGCAGAAATGTAGGTATTCTTTTTTGTAAATTTGGCTGAAGCTTGACAGGTATGTTGGAAAAGCTTATCTCCCTTTAGAGTACAAAATTTGGGTGGCTGCTATGCTGCAGTCATGCCAAAGGGCTTTGCTGGCATTGCATATATAAACAGAGGTTTGGGATGAAACTTACTTTTTGGGTTAACATTGCTGTTTCTTATTTTTCAGTACTTTATGTAGACTAAATCATGAAACAGAATAAGTAATGGACTGTCTGACTCTATTACCAGTGAAGAGCAGAGTTGTAGGAACTTCTTTGGTTTTGGCCAAAAGGAACATTTGTCTTTAATGTTCAGCATTAAAAATGACACTTGTGAATCCTTTCATTTTTGCTGGTTTGAGAAACAAGACAACCTGGAAAAAAAAGACATACCAAGAAAGTTATCTGGCAAAGAGTAAGTTGATCATGAATTAAATTAATATTTCTGTATTGCTAAAGCTTGTAAAGATTGTAAAGCTGATGCTTTACACAGTCATCAGAGACTAAATCTGTACTGATTGAAAGAAATCAGCTTTTGGGCTTGTTCTTTGACCAAAAATTTAGTTCTGTTCACTGAAAGGAATATTCCTGCCCCCTGACACTGTGAGGCAGGAGTCGTTCAAGAAATGTGTGTGTTCTCATGCTATGTTATTATCGGCTATGTTATACCAATTCCTTTGTTACGGTTTCATTTAAGCTTTTGGTTCAGAACCAAGCTGTAAAATTTAGAGAGGAATCTGAGGATATGAGGCAATTGATGAGGTAGTTATTTCTTCTTTCTATACGATAGGGGGAAAAAAAAAAGTTGTTGGATTTTGTCTGAACTGAAACTAGAGGGGGGATAAACAACTCCTCTTGTATCCTGTTCCTGCTAAGAGCTGGTCGCTCAGAGGGAGGTACTCACCCTTCCAGCAGTTGGTTAGGCTCCTCACCCAGACACATTTATTTACCTCCTGGTGGATTATGCTTTAAATGTATATGAACACCAGGAAAGCATGACCTGAAATGTGGCTTGTAGTAAATTTTTCCATGAATGCAGTTCAGGAGAGCTTTCCTTCCAAAAGACGTTTATAAACTGTCTCTTCTATTCAAGGCAGAGCTGGTTTGTTGGTGGCTATGCTTTATTATGTAACTTTATCTGGGAAATGGAAAATTGGGTTTTTCCTCCCTGAAATAACCTCTAAAATGCATCAGGAAAATGCTGCAGCTCCTCTGGGAGAACACTTGCAGGTGCCTCTCTCTGTTAGCCAGCTGGAGCGAGAGCACTGACACCACACTGTCATTTAAGCACCATAATGCTTAATATTTCTCTGAAATGCGTCTGATCCTTTATCATGAGGACCGAATGAAGTGAAACCATTACTGTAAACACAGAAAACATTCCACAACGTTCCAAAGTGCACATTTTTGGCAGCAGTAAGCTTTCTCCAGATAGTTGCCTGGGAATTTACAAATTGGTCACATCTGAGCCTGTTTTGTGAACCTTCCTCAAATCTGCACCTGCCTCCCAGAGCCATACAGAAGGAGAGAGCCTATAGATACTTTTGCTGATGTTTCATTAAAGGCAAATGGAAACAGCCACGTTTTAAGGTCTGGTTATAACATCTTGGGTGGCAAAACATCTTGTTATTTGTTGGAAGTGAACACTTGGGGAGTGAGTAGCGCATTTTTTTTTCTTTTTTCTTACCCACCCCCCAGAATTACTGGGACATTTTTTTTCTTTTTTTCTGAATGAAACATACAACTTTCTCCAGGTTACTTTTGTTGTGAAGAGAGGACAAATACTTAATTTGAATCGCTGAGTGGGAAGAGGTCTCCTGGTGCTGTTTTCATCAGGCTCTGGAACTGATACTGGAGTAAAGAGGGCAGCAGTGAGTTGCAATCGTACAGGAAGAGTTGAAATAGAGTGTGTAGGTAACACAGCAGGAACCTCTTTTGAAAGACTGTTGAATTGTGCTAATAACACTGCTCCAACATCCACAAAGTATATGTTTGGTGGTGAAAGATAGACCATGGCAAATTTCCCTGCAAAATTATCAAAATATTTGCCCATCAAATGTAAAGAGTGATTTATTTTTTTTCCCAGTAGTAGTAGTATTTGGCTAGTTGTCCTTTTAGATTCAGGTACAGAAACAGAATTTAAAGCTTACTTACAGATTTTCAAAGAGATTAATTATTATTCTAGTTCAGCAGCTCTGGAAATGCCCAAAAATTCTCTTAAGACCTGTATAGGCTTTTTGGTCAATACATGGTCCTGTCTTATTACAGGACAATTTCATCCTGGACTGTGGCACTCTGAATTTGCTGTATTATTTAACTGTTATGAAAACATTTCAGGCTGTTTGGTCATGACCCTTTTTTAGTCCCAAGTACAACTTGTTTGATGTAAGTAGCCAGTTGCTGGTGGAAATGAATGCTTTGTAACAACAAGGTAGGGTTGAAAGATTTTTTGTTTCTTGGTGAAGATTTTTGGTCAGCCAGAAAAAAACAGAGTGGTTAAGTCTGGGTTTAAATCTTTGGATGCAGAAGCTTTTATAGTCCCTCTGGCTTCAGTCAGAGCAAGCATGCAGGTATAAACCTGGGAGGAATCAAGAATTCATACTCTTATTCCGAGTGTTAAGGAAGGTATCTCCCAGTCTGTTGTGTCCTTGTTGCTTTATTAAACGATGCAAGTTCTTATGTATTTACATACATGCACACACCCTAAAAAAAAACAAATACTTTCTCTCCCATTCTTTGTGAAGACATCCTTTCAAAGCTGGCAGTGATGTAAAGGTGGAGCATCTACTCTTTTTTACTCTTTCTCATATCTGCTTTTTATTATCTGTTTCTAGTGGGAATAGAATATCTTAAAGACCTTCTCTACTTTCTCTATGTTGTGAACACTTCCAAATGGAATTCGGGATCGAGTCTCAGAGAAGGAAATATTGCTTTACAGAAGGCATCAGTACACCTGCATGACATTCCTTTAATAACAAGTTAGTTGTTTATGTGCAAGTCAACAGTTGGATTGTATCAGCTGCTCTCCCTTTTTTCTAGCATGAACCTTTATGCTGAAAAAAAGGCTGATGTTTTATAACAGGTAATGGAGTCTCTGTACAGCGTGGTCCATCTGCATGGCAACTTACAGCAATACCTTTATCCCTTCCCTTGCTCGTTCCTGTTCAAGTCTTCTGACAAAGGCCCAGCTTTATCTCAGAAGGTACGAATAGTATCTCTTTCACACCTCAGCTAAAAAGTTGTTCCCATGGCAGCTTCAAAAGCCTCTGGGTTTATCAGTGGAAAAAATGCTTGGAAAGGAGAGATTTAGTACTTACATTAGTTCTATCAGCACTTTTTTTTTTGGCTGGGACTTGTTCTCACAGAACTTCAAGCTGGATTATTTGTATTAAACTTCCTGACTGAATTCCAAACAAGTCATCTTTCCCCACAACACTGACCTTTAGTTCGAGGCCAGAATAATTTTAATTTGTTTCAAGTTTCCTTTATAAGCAAGAGAACAAGCAATAAAATCCAAGACCTGGTTAGCTCGCTGCATGGCAAAATATTTTTTAATTCTAAGGAGAGAAAAAAAAATAACAATAAATATGAACATTCCATACTGACATCCAAACTGGGCACTTCCTGAAAGTGGTTAACTGCAACCTTCTGGGCATCCAGTCTGAAAGCTACAGAAAAATAATGGTTTTAAAGAAAAGTGTTAGGTAACTAACCTGTTTTTAACTAGGTTTATGCCCCACTGGAAGTGTTACAGGGCATATTTCGGGCCCCCATTTGCTGTTTCTGGCCGGGGGTGAGGCAGAAGTGATGTCTTGGGCTGTCATTTACTGAATGCATCAGGCCACCAGCTTGCACCAGTGCTGTCCCCGCTCTCCTGCACAGGCATTGGAGCCCCTATGTGGTGAGCTGGATCAGGTAATTGATCTGGCTGAATGCAACCTTTTTTTTTTTTTTTTTTTCTGTGCTGGTTTAGTGTTAACCCAAATAAATTCCCTGATCTGCTCCATTGCATGGCTGCACAATGTGCCAGCACATGGGAAAAGGCCAAGGCCATGTGAGGATAGGAGCACGTGATGTGGAGGAAGCACACCACAGGTATTTTATAGCCATGACTAGATATGAGGACATGCACTTGGTCCTGTGATGGCAAGGAGTAGCTGAGAAATAGGAAGGATTTGACAGAGCAACGTGGCTGGAGAGCAGGAGGTCTGAGGACCCGCAGTGGGGTGGGCAGCTCAGATGCCTTTAAAATACCCATATTTACTTGCTACTCAGCTTAGACCAGCAGCATAGAGGAGAGGTGCCACAAATAATGACCACTGGTGAATCCATGGTCACTAGCCATGTCTTTTGTAGGGTGTTCTTCTTAATCTTAATTTATTAGGATAAAAATGCATTTCCTGTGTGCACAGTTCATCGGCTGTTTTGTTCTCAGACTTGCTGCTGCCCATAAGTGGAAGTGTGCAGTCTTGACTTTTGCAGAGACTTGGCTTTTGTTCCGGACACTTAGTCCCAAGTATTTATGGGACTGCAGAGAATGGTCGCAGAAGTGGGAACATGAAATTTTTTTCAGCACTAGGTGGCTGTATGGAGTTCTGCAGCATCCTGTACACAAATATTTAGTAAGCTGGGGAATGGACAAAAGGATAAACTTCTGCTTTTTCACACACCTTCAATAGGTTGTGTGGGTGTCTTTTCTTTAACGATGGAAAATCAAAGAATGAGGACATTTTATTTTTATGAACTGATCAATCGATGGCTGCAGACACCTTCATCTCTGTGGAGTCAAGGTAAGTATGGAGCCTATCAAAGAAGCTGCTCCAGTCCAGGGGCTGGGCTGGGATTGCTGTGGTTGGCTGGTGTGGCTGCTGCTTTTTGCTTAGAGGATTGGATTTGAGCACTGAAGGGGGTGAGTGAGTGTATGTGATTAAAAAGTAAGTAAAATATCTGGTCCTGAGCTTTCCAAATGATCATGTTGCTTGGAGGCCCTTTGGAGCTCCCAGTGGTCTCTGCACCTACGATTTCGGTAGGTCCCTGACTTCTGGTGATCCTCAAGTTGTTTGCAGAGCTGCTCTAGGCTTTGCTGAAGGACTTGCTGGTGGACCAAGCTTGGAGAGGATGAAGTTGTTGTAAGGCATAGCTGTGCCTGGTCTCCGTTGTGCTAGTTGCTGTACATGGGTAGCAAAGCGTTGGTTTGGACTCCCAGATGTTTTTTGTAAATCTGCATAAATGTTCAAGTGGTACTGCTTTGCAGCCTCGTTTCATGCTTACCTTCGTTGTTTCAGAAGTTTTCAGCAACACTTCAGGTAGTGGCCAGCAATTTTCTAACCAATGTTATCTCTGCTGGGCAGGGAAAGCAAAAGACTAGTTGGGTAAGTTCTTGTGAACTGCTTGTGAATTTCTATAATTTATACTTAACAGTGTAAATCTCTGGCAGGTACACTACTGCTGCTAGGGGTGGCTTTGATAGATGTTTACATGTCAGTGTCAGACATTGATAGAGAAGTTCTTCCTGTAGCAGAAGTGCCATTATGTGAGGTCAAGGAGATTTTGGCAGTGGCGAAGATTTTGGTGGTTTTTACTCATAAACTCGTAATTGTACGGTTGCAAATATGTAATCAATTTTTAATCATTTAAATGATTTTAATCTTTTTTAAAAAATCATTAATATAATAATTTTTAATCATTAATCATTTAAATCATTTATTTTAAACAAACAAAGAAAGCTTTTTGCCCTCAGAAGTTGACTGTTGTGATTTCAGATGGAATAATAGATGGGTACAGGTGGTAGCCACTGAGCACTACCAAGCCTGATTGGCAGAGCTCTTGCAGACATCACAGCAGGTGAGGGTGTTAGGTAGGGTCTTAAAGGAACCTACCTAACACCCTTCTAAAGGAACTTTGTTGGACAAAGCATGTGAAAACAAGCAGGCAGTAGCGGAGGGCATCCTGGTAGCTGACAGTGGGGTTTGAGCTCTATCACGACAACTTCGGAGTGGCTGCTGTGTGGTGTGAACCTCTAGCGTTGGCCAGGAATGCATCAAAACTCAGGAGGGGAGTGGGGAAAAACATAAATACTGGCTGATACAATCCAAGCCACTCATACACATCTAAATTACTGCCTTGTAATATGTTTAATGGAAAAGTAGTTGGGCAAGAGTTTGGTTTTTGGGAAGAAAAAAAGTCGGTTCATTTTAGTGTCTAATTTTATACTGAAAGCAAACTTTCTTGTTTGCCCTCTGAAGTCAGCAGCAGTATGATGGGTCTCTGGGGGGGCAGCAGAGCTGGCCGGAAGCGGCCTGCCAGGGCTGCTCTGGGATTTGTTTTCTTTTGATTATGGGAAAAATAGCCCGAGATATTTCTGTGCATGCAGAGCATTCTTAATGACTGAAAAATCTGTTGTCAAGTAGGGACAAGGGGGAAGTGCCATCTTGAAAGACAACAAAAATGTGTTTGGATTAGGTCTGAAAACCCAAACAAATTTATTTTTAGTGACTTCCAGAAGCTTCTATTTAAAAAAAAAAAAAAAGAGTTGCACGGCTAAACCTGGACTCGCTGCACTGGAGTTTAGTGGAGTTCACGGAGACGTGCAGCAGCAGGCATGGGAAGAGGGTGTCTTCCACTGCCTCTGAGATATCAATTACTGATTTCCTTCACAATTTGTTAAGCAAGAAACATAGCAGAGGTGCTGTTATACAACGTGGGGGATTTGATAAGGCTTTGTGCCAGCCTGTGGCTCCAGACAGCCATGTTAGAAAAGGAGGACAGACAGGATGTGCAGCTCTCCCATTTCCAATGGTGACTGGGTGGCTGGCTCTGCCGCCTGCAGAGGGAGGCTCTGGGAAGGATAGAGTATGCTCCACAGGGGTATCTGTTTTGAAATAACTTTGATATTTCCACTGGAAAAACATCCTCTGGTGCCATTCCCATGTCCTTCAAAGTCAGTGCACTTGGCACCATGTGGGAGGCTGAGCAGTGGCCATCTGCTCCTCAAACTGTGCCACTGGCCACGTCACCTCTGGCTCTCCCAACTTCTGTCTTTGATTTTTAGCTCAACTGACTGCAAGTTTTTTTTTTTATCTGAGACCCAAACCCCAGGACACACAGAAGGGTGCCTCTTGCTGTGCTCTTGAGGCTGTGTTTCGTTGCAGCAGGCTGCATGGTGGTATCTCTGAAAGCAGTCTCCAGAAGCAGTGCAGGAGTTTGGTCCTTGCTGTCTGCTGTAGCCTGGCAGAGCCCCTGTGCCATTCCTGCCTCCTCTGCTGCCTGTCCTTGAGCACATATCTGCAACTTGGATGGGGAGAATTTCCCCACTGGTAAAATGGGATATTTAGTAAACTTCAGCTGGAGAGGGAGTAAGAAAAATGTACAATGCCAGATAACAAAGCGTGAGGAAATGTACTTATCTACGTGCAAGAGTTGTTATCTCCTGCCTCCAAACAATGATGTTGGGATACATTTAAAATACTCTGTAGATCTTTGCCACTGAATCTCACCGTGGCCTATTCCAGTCTAAAATAAGGTATTTCCACATTACAGCCCTTCATCCTAGTTACACCTCTACATGTGGATTCATGTTTTATATGTATGTTGAATACAGTATGTAGTATAAGCAGTAAGCTCGTGTATATGGGTTTGGGGATATTGGGGGTGGGAGGTGCTACTAGAAGAAACAAAACCTTTGCTACTTCCACAGGCAGCTACAAAGGACTGTGCACTGATAGCACCACAGAGATGCTGGATGAAGCATTAAGAGGCTGTTCTTGCTGTTGCAGCAAGAGCTTAATGGCTTGCTGTGCTTTTCCTCTGCTAATAGGGACAGCAGCTGGTATGTTATTTACAGTCCTGCTCACCTCTTCTTCACTTGTGTTCAATATGGAAGCATTGCAGAGACCCTGCAGCACCCTCTCTACAAATCTGCTTTTCTTTCAGGCTACGTGTTCATATGCAAGGCTGCAGCTGAAGTGCTGGCTCAAAGAAAACAGCAGTCTTGGGTACTCCTGCTTCATGCTCCCTGATGGTGCCTGCTCAGCCTGCAAGTGAGTTCCAGCTGCAGGAGATCCTTAGACCTGGGATACAAACAGCCACAAGACATTTGGGAAAGAGCATATGGAAATTACTCACCGCAGTGCGGTATGTGCATCTTTGTATTATCTTCCAGCTTATCAGCGAAATGATTTCAGCTCTGAGGATGTTATGATTAATGAAAAATAAAAAAAAATTCAAACCAAAGGTTACATCATGAAATCTAGCATGCTTTATCAAAGCATTGTCTGGCAGTTGCCAGAGCAGCTGATTTAGCACATTTTCTGCTGTCTTACAGGACAAAATGAGAAACATTTAAAAGAAACTTGTATTTTCCTCCAGCTTCCTTCTTTTTGATTCAGTTAAGAAGATGCAGTTGTGCATCCTTTAAGGACTCTCACTTTGTTTCAGAGGCATTCACGAGCTCTTCCATTTAGACATTCTTGTTATTTTTTTCCCATTCTGACAGTGCTTTTGGAAAATAATTGGCCAATTGCATATTACCTGACCGTAAACATGCTCATTGTTAAAACAGGTTTTCTAGCTTTTGATCCAGAGCTTGGAAAATGTGCTGTGGATAAGAGAGAGGCTACCAGCTGATAGCAGGAAAAGTATGTGTTTTTTGTTGGTTGTTTGTTTTTAAAAAGTTGCAAATTACATATCTCTATATATATCTATCTCTATATATATAGATATTAATAGAGAATAAAATAACCACTTATAACCAACTGAAGGCGGCTCTTACTACAGCTGAGAGTCTGTCACTTTGACTATTAAGTGTGGTATCTGGGGTGACAGAATAACAAGGAGCCAAAGAAATAGCAGGTATAGCTTTTATAGGCTGGGAATCTAGACAGCAAGGGATCGATTTGAAATTATATGACTGCTAGAAACAATAGGATGTGTCTAAAGTTAGCATACTGTTTGTTGAACTGAGACTTGCCATTTTGATAAAAAGGATCCACACGTGACAGTGACCGTTGGCAAGTGCCAGAGTCCTGTCTCCAGCAGGGTGCCACCTTCCTCTTTTCCCTTTTTGGTAAATGCACTGTTGAGAAATGGGAAGCGAATAATGCAGGAAGCTTTGATGTCTCTCTTTTTTTTTTTTTTTCTTTTTCTTTTTTCCTGTTCTTTTTCTGCTGTAGGGAGAAGTGAGAAAAAGGAAAAACATAGCCAGGCATGGAGGAGTGCTGCCACTGTCATTGTTTTGGAAGACCGTCAGCATCTCTTGCTGTAGGACACCAGTGCCCTTTTCTACCTCATGCCATTATAGAAGCTTAGTGGATTTTTATTTTTTTTTCCCCAGGATCTGTGTCCACTTGTAGAGGTAAGTGCAGTTAAATGCATGCCTTGCAGGTATCACAGGTAATTCTTGTTGCTCTCTCCCTATTGTTGAAACCAGCCATACATGCTGTTTTTTTTCTTCCCTATTCCTTTGCTGCATCTATCCTTATACATAGTGTGTGAATGTTGCGGACTTCAGGAAAAGGCACTAAGGTGAGACCTGAGTCATGCAACAGCTGACCTTCACAGAGCAAAATTTTTGCTTTATTACTTCCTTTATTTCTGCATTTAATGCCTGAAGCTTTCAGCTGCAGGTTTGAGGTGGAAAAGGACACAAGGAATAATTTTTTTGTATTAATCTACCCTAATGCCCTATCTTCGGTGGGACAAGAGACACTCGTTTGGCTTGAACCAGCAGAGCTCTTTGCTTTTATCAGAGTCACATCCACCTGTACCAGCTGAGAGCTGTGTGTGTGTCACTGTTTCCTTGCTGTACCTGGAAGCACTGAGGAGTGCCTCTGCATTTGCACCAGAGCAGCCAGTAATTAACTGATTAGTTGGCTTTAATGTTCTTGCAATAGTTTCATGTGCCTTTTTTTTTTTTTTTTTTTGATAGTCCAGTTAGCCACTGGAATCATCACTAACTAATGCAGTACTTTTTCTCTGAGGTTATGACTTCCCCAGATGTGCACCTACAAATGTGGATTTTTGCAGATTCTTTTCATCCATGACACAAACCTCTAAGTTTGGTATTAAATGTATTTCTAGATAGACACTTATTTTATCATTTCTGGATGAATAGCTTTCCATGTGGTTTCTTAGCTTTTATACAGTTTTCAGCTTGTACTTCTCCTATGCTGTGTGTGAATGCAGTGATGTATGCTAGCTGAGGTTGAGTATTTTCTTCTGATGGGACAGAAACTGACAGCACAAGAAAAATGCAGGTACAGCAGAACATGCCAGTTCTGATTATGTGCTCCTAAAAAATAATATGGCAACTTAAAAAATTTTTTTTGCCGTCTCAGTGTTAAGTGAAGACTGGGTGAGCACTTGGTAGAATCTTAATTTTAAACAAGAGGAAAGTATTTCTGGTCTTCTGGAGTTTTACCAAAAAATTGCGGTTAACTCCATAGCTTTAAAAATATGCAATTCAGCTGTCTGGTGCTGATGCGTCCAGGGATGGTCGTTGAGGGATAGCCTGCAATTTCTTCCAGAAGCAAATGCTGTCTGCTTAATGGGTGACATTTCTATGTTTAGCTTGGGCACTCAGAGAAGGCTGATGTATCCTTCTCAACATCCAGCAGGTCTTGCTGACTTTTTCCATATCTTTCTGAATAGATAAGAAACTTTAAGGGAGGAAGTATGGGTGGTTCCCAGGCATGAGGCTGTAACACCAGCTGGGATCACAGTCTGACAGTCAGCGAAATTCAGCACATTGCAGTACATTTCAGCAAGGCTTCAAGTTGGGCAGCAAGAAGCTTGCAGATTGCTGCCACCCTGAATTGCGTTCAGAGTAACAATGTCCAAACTTCTGGATGGGAAATTAGCTGTAATTACAGAATACTGTCCTTTGCTTTTAAATGAATTTCATAAGTGAAGGTATCATCTGTTGGCATGTTCCAATGTTTAATGTAAACAAATTGATGATTGAAATGAGAATGTTATAGTAAAAAAAACAGCACCCCATAGATGTTGCCTTTGCAAGAAGACATGCCTGCCAAAAAATGTGTGCAAACTGCAGTGATCCAAAGATTGTTTGCATCACTTTTAGCGCAGCCCTAGTTCCTCATCTTTCTTGGTTTGCTAACCTCTTCTATTTTTTTGCTCCTCTTAGCTGGTGTGAAGGTAAAGGTATGGGCAGCTATGATCCAGCCAGCTGGTGTCTCAAAAAGAAACCTGCAGCACTAAATGTGAGCAGCTGACTTTGCTGGTACCTGTCCGACTGGGCCACTTAGAAAATGCTGTAGCGGTGGGAATGAGCCTGCAATTCCAGCTTCCTCAATGCCACACCCAAGGGAATATTTAAGGTATTACACATATATAAGCTTTTTTTTTTTTAAGCTCTGCTTTTGGGCCTTGTGGAAGGAAGGTGGTGTTGCACTTGAAGTCTTGTCCCAGCCTCACTCACTCATTCTCACTTAGTCTTCACTTATTCCTTGGTCTATGCATTAGGGGGAGTAAAAGAGTATCAGGGAGCTGTGCTGAGGACTCACTAGTCTAGCTCATGTATTCCTCATTGTTCCAAGCGGTAGCCAGTGTCTTTAGTTCAGTTTTGGGAGACTTGGCAAATCCTTCTTCGCCTTTATAGCTGCAAATTGAAAGCTGCAGACCTTCCCCTGCAGGGATGGCTGTTAAGGTGAAATGCAAGGCTAGCAAAGACCTCCTGAATAATCTGCATGCCAGCAGATGAGCTGCCATGCATCATGCAAGTTTCCAGTTACACATTGCCCTGTGGCTCAGATGCCACGCCAGGGAGACATGCCACTGCAGAGTTCTGTGGTGCTTCCCTCTGGGAGCTGGGTCCTGACTCATACTCTTCCTGCAGTGAATGTATATTCATTTTCCAGCATGTGTTTCCTGCAAGGAGGCCCGCAAGGGGCAGTTAGTATTTTTAACTATGCTTTTCTTTTCAACCAGGCTGGTTATGGGCTGGCATAAACACTTGCTGCATTAAGAATATGTCCTAGATTTTATTGACTATATATTTGTGTCACCCACGTGATGATGTACTGTTTAAACACTTCATGAGCTGGACAGTCTCTGTGCTTTTTTTTTCTTCAAGGAGGGCATGAATTGCTCATTTTGAATGAATTTCTTGAAGTTGTGAGAAAATAGTGTGCATTTGAAGGCCTTATAGATGTGTAGTACATCTGTTTCAAAGCACAGGCTGTCTTCCTTAAAATAATTGTGGTGTTTGTAACTTCCCATTTGGACTATGCAAAAGAAAAAAATTGCCCAAGTAGTCATTGTGTGAAACCCACCAGTAAGCTTCACTTCCAAATATGAAGTCACTTGTACTTCACAAAAGCCAGTGTGGCTGAGCTGTAGGCAGGTCTCCTTTGAGGAGAGGGTGGCATTGCACTTGGAGTAGCTGCTTGTGAATATTTGGCTTGAGTCACTGGGGGAAAGATCATCCATAGGGTGAGGAGACTAAGCAGCTTAATTGAAAAGATGCCTACTAAATAGAAGTATGCAGAAAACAGGAAAAAACTCATGCTTAAAATCTTTCCCAGGCATCAACTTCTGGACATAGTTGGAGACAAGATACCAGTGCTGCCGATCCTTCAGCCTGACAGATCCTCACAGGACCACTGTGTACATGGTAAATGTGACCATCTGTGCCGTGAAGCTGGAGGCAAGAAATAGGCAGAGAGCTCCAAAAGGTAAAATATATTAAAACACATATTTGATCCTATCAGAAAGATGGCCGTTGATTCATTGTGACTGTGACTTAGCAAGAAATTTGAGAGAATTCATTGAAACCAGGGTCCTAGTGTTTAATGCTATGCAGGTTCATAGCCCAGGATAATACTACTCTTCTGGAATACTCCAAGAAATAATAGGAATCTTGAAAAGGAAGTGTTCCTCCATGCCGACTGGCCTACATGTGAACTAGCCAGACTGGTTAAAGCTTAATTAAAAATTGCCAGAGTGGCTAAATTCTTTTCTAAGTGCAGCTGCAAAACATTAGCTGTGGGCATATTTTAGACCTTAATTAGTAACACTTGCACTGGAGGACCAAAATCCTTCATGACTGCAGCTGCAATCAATTAATATCAGTTAGGCATTTTTGTAGGTAATACAAGGGTCTCCTGAAAATGGTGTTAGAGCCCACCTAGATTAAAAAAAATACTTAAATGTAATAAACTACAAAATCAAAGATAACTACAAAATGTCTTTATTGAAAAAAGCAGATTATAGCATCTAAGGTTAAATGAAACTTCTGACTTTAATATTAAATAACTTAGGATGATAGCAAGTAGCTTCTTCTTTAGATAAATAAAATCTACATTTCCCAATTTTTTTCTTCAACAATCAAGGGAATCAAACACTGAAACACAAAACCACAAGTAATTCTAAAGACTAAAAGACAGAAGCACATTGGAAGGTTTTACAAGGATATATACAAAAATAGTTAAACTAATGTATATTTTCAGCATGTAAACTAGTTACATGATATACAAACAGGGAATTTATATATTTCCTAACAAAATAAAAATCAACGTTGGTCCAAGTTCTTGGAAGAAAACTATATTCTTTTAAAGAAAATGAAAATATTTCTCAAATGAAACTTAATTTAAGTCAAATTATACACTCTAGTTACGGCATTAGTTACAGGATGAATCACAAACTTTTAAACTTTTCTTGAAACACAAGAAAGCAGCTTTTGTCTCCTTTAGAGCTTTGGTTTACTTAACTACTCTGGAATTTCTGGTCTTAAAGAGCTCCTCTAACCGTGTTTTCCTTCTGAAGCTCCACCTTACAAAACATATACACACACACATACACACATGCACACAAGTGAAAAGAAAAGAAACCCAAACAACCCCTTTTTGAAAGCTCAATTATCTGAGTGCATTCTTCTGTTTTGTTTTCCAATTATTATTTTGGTCCTTTCTTTGGATCACGTCCTCCAGTGCATGAGGAACTCTGAATTGCCTAGGACAGCGTTGTATTGTAGGGACTTTGTAAGACTGCCTTACCAAAATGGAAAGGTGTACTCCTGATGCAAATGAGATCAAGTTGTTATTGTTTTAACTTTATGGAAATATTCTGACAGTACAGAATGCAGAAAGGGCTTCTGATGAACAATCACATCATAAAATGAACTCCAGAAAGTTTACATCTGTGTTGAACTGATTTTATATAAGCATACTCCTTAAGAAAATAATTAAAAGAAGCTTTCTCATTTACATAATTCCCCAGACAGGATGTAAAATGTGAAGAAACTGTCACTAGCACTACAGATTGCAGCACACCGTTGGTTTAGATTTGCTTTTATTTTTTTTCTGTTCTTTGATTGAAAAACTGGCAAATTTCTTTCAACCTCCAGCTTTTATACTTAATGCTGGAAAAGCAAAGCTGTACTTCATTAGCCAAAAACAAAATGGACATGTCTGTAGAAACTGATGGAACAACAACTGCTGCTTTCTGGTTTTTAAACAAATTACTTATCCTATACTGAAACAGTCAGTAAAAACTTTCAGTATTTACTGTGATGATATTTAACACATTGGAACTGAGAAGAACTACAAGACTGACAAATTAATGTGAAATTAAATATTATTCTGTTCTAAGGTATGATCGTTTTCAAAAAAGAAGAAAAGGTATTGTATGTACATGTTAGATAGTGTGCTGACCCTTGAAAAGTAATGTCAAACTGGAAACTTAACCTTGCCCCTGACTGGAGGCAAAGTGCTAAGGAAGGTGCTGGCAGAAGACTGGGCTAAATGCCAGCATCATCTCCTCCTCCGGCCACTGTGATTTTTAAGGTTTTGCTTTTACGATGGTAGAGCAAAGCATGGTTCAGTACAGCAAGTACTGTTATGGGACGGCTTGCTCACAGGAACAGACCCAAACCTTATCTGTATTTTAATGATTGTTTTCTTAATTTGATTCTTTAATATGTATCACAAAGACAAGTAAATACAAGTACCTCAGAGCTAGATGTGGGCTAAAGCAGCATCTTTAAATAGAAAAGTATCACATCGCATCTCAGGCTAAAAGTTTATCCTGAAGGTCTGCTCGGTTCCATTTCATATTGTTTGTAGTAACCTTAATGGAACTGACCTAGTCATACAATCTAATTTAAGACAATTTTTTTTCCTTTTCTAGAATTTGCTGTTTGGGCAAGAGGCACATGTACTTCTGTTTCCCTCTGAGGCTGGTTTGGTGACTACAGACAAACAGGTAATGCTTGCAAATGCAGAGAAAGTGTGCATGCAGCCAGTGCCCACTCTTTGGAGGGCAGGCCTCTTAGGTCAAACTGTAGGAACAGGGCACTAGTTGCATTGTAATTCCATTCAAAACACAGTTCTCACATTAAATATGTTAATTTTAAACATATATTAATAAGAAAATTACTTTTTAAAGGAGCATCTGACTTGCCAAGGAGCATTCAATAGAACAGGTTCGTCTAGGCCAATGGAAGTTTGGCAGAAGTTCAGAAAAGATACCTTTTGTTCCTTACTAACAGAAAAAAATAGTTCACAGGAATTTTTCCTGCCTCCTTGCTCTCCCCCACCCCCCCAAGGAAATTCCAGACTATCAAAAAGTTCTGTTAAAGGAGTTAATTATTCCACTTAGGAATTAGTGTCCATTGGATGCCCTTTGTACTGCTCAAGAGCACCACAAATGGCTTTCAAAAAATCAATGGAGCATAAGAAACTAAACTGCAATGGTGTTACCAAATAAGTCATTTCATCAGTCTGCATGCTGAATTTAACGTGACTATTTCTGAACAGATTGGTCAGATTCTCGATGTGTTGAAAACTGGCATGGAAATGTCCCAATTTACACATGCGGAGAATCTGGTATTTCCACTTCCTTTGGAGCAGAAAAAAAATATTTTATTGTAATTTTGGATACAAAGACAGCAATGATGGATTTATTTAGAATATAAATTCAGGAAGGCTGGATCAATTCTCATGAGAATGCAAGGAATTTTTTAAACATACAGTTGTGTGATTTGCATGTAAATCATCAACACATGGTAGAAAACAAACCATAAAAAAGATTCATCTAACTTCCTATATGGAAGACATATATTTCCCCAGAGCTCTGAGGTTACTGTAAAAGCTTATGCAAAACATGAAAGTGTGTACATTCTATGTACACCTAATACTTGTTATAAAATACCAATGTTTCAATTGTCAGTGTCTAAATTATTATTTCTGCTAAACTGTATTTTGTTTTCCCATGAACATAATTACCATAATCAGTTCAAAAGTATATCTAGAAAAGAACACAAAGCTGAAGAGATAATACAAAAAACACTGTCCCCCCCCCCTTTTTACTAACATCTCAACACACAATCATAAAGCAGTTGGTAACAAATTCTTGTATAAAACAAGTAGCGTGAAGACAAGTGTACCTTTGCATAGAAAGGGGCTGCTAACCCTATTAAACAAAAACAGGTTTAAAAGATTGTTTAGTAAGTGCCAAATCATCAAGTTGGTATGAATGCATTCTGGAACTGTGGCTACACTTGTACACGACAAGCAATTACAGAGGTCTATAACTTCCTTCAATTGTTGTGAACTTGCATGTAGCAATCTTTTAGATATGTTTGTCTGTGTTTTTCATGAGATGCTTGACATATTTCTTTAGCAAGCAAAATAGTCTTTGGATGACTGTGAAACCATGTAGGATGAAGAGTTGGCCTGGTGCTTCTTCACAGAATGCCATTATTTAACCCCTGCTGAAAACTGCCATTGCTAAAAATGTTTGCTTGCTTCCTATTCACTACTGTTGGGAATTTACGTTTTTAAAACTGTGAGACTGCATTCTCTAAGACCAGAATTTGAAGAAACGAGTTAAAATGCTAGTGTTGTTCTTATCATGCCTGCTGCAATATGATAAGGTGCTAACTTCTGGAAATTAATTCTGCACTCCTTACTTTGGTGAAACCTCCACTGAAGAAGAATGAGTAGGGAGTGCAGAACAGCCCTTTATACCACTGTTTTTAGAACTGCTGCCACTTACAGTTACAACTTAGTGGCACGTTATTTGTTCAAGTAGACGGTGTCTCAGTGAAAATGTCTGGATAAAAGAACACATATGTACAAGATCAGAAAGAACCCCTCACCTCTGATTTAAAAAATAAATAGCTGGTTTAGATGGTTATTACTGGGATATCATCTTTAAAGGAAAAGGAAAGTCATTTAAGATTTCTGTCTTCTCTTTCAAACAGCTTACTGGTAATGGAAATGTCTTTCAGAGTTCTGTGACGTGCATCGGATAGCTTGGAGGTGGATGTGATGGCAATTTAATATTAAGGCGCCTGATATGACAGCCATGACAGAGCAAGTGGCCTTCTAATGGGTAACAACGATGGCCTTCCTCATCATTGAGCTGCAAGCCACAGTCCTGGAAGAAAAATTTAAATCCTGGGTTAGTGAGTGATTCAGGTAGGTTATCTCATATCAGTGTTGATCTGACTTGTGTAACTGTGAGAGCTCCCTCCCATGCCTCCAAAAGCAACAATCTCAAGAGTTTGTGGTAGACAGACCCTGACTATCTTGTATTAAACAAAATGCCGTCACTGAAATCTGCTAGGACAATCTCTAGAAGGACCCAGCCCAGTTGTCGCATTTTTTTTTCTGTTGTTTCCCACTTATCTTCATCTACTAAATGTTGAAGCAAATCAGATAAAATTAGGCTAAGGACTAACCCTGATAGACGCACAACGTGGAACAGGTTAGGAAAAAAAAAAAAAAAAAGGAGCTGATTCTACAACAAGGGTGTGAGCAGGAATTAGGGGAGTATAAGCAGAGAATGAGAAAGAGGAGTAAGACCAGGAGGGGAGATAAGGCATATTTTACTTACAAATCAGGACTGAACTTTCATATTATTATTATTTTTTTAATCTAATTTGAATTAGAGAAAGACTTCAAGGCCCATGGTTTGTATTTTTGGTGGAGACACATTAGTATCTGTGGGACTGGCACATAACTACAGGGATGACATAAATGAACAACACTGGAGGAACAGAAATAAGAACAACAGAGTAAACAGCGATGCTGCCTGCTGACAACTGTGTACACTGCAATAGAGGTAATCCTGGTGCTCAGTTATCATTGCAACCTTGAGAATATTTGAAAGTTAGAGTGGTTTTGTGCTTGGATTTGATGTTTCAAGAGTTGTAAGTACTTAAAATTGTTACTGTGACCAATTCTGACTACTCTGAGATTCTGAATATGTAACTGAACACTAAACAGAAGAAAAAATGTGATCAAACTGGGCATATAGGTAATTTTAGTACTGAAAATCAATGCAGAGTTTTTAATTGGACTCAAAGTATGATTTTTCAGCTTTCATAGCTAATGTTAAAATCTTTATTTTTTATAATGCTGAAATAAGAATGAAAACTTTTAAAGTAAGCTTTAAAACTGAGATGTTAGAGAGGCTTTAATCAAAGCTTCTGCCAATTTCTATTTTCTGTGTGAATATATGCTACATCCTACCTTTATAGTCTGTTATATTAAGATTTAAAATTCAGTTCCTCTTTATAATTTAAAAAATTCAGATATATTACAAGCATTTGGAATAGCTGTTAGGTACCTTTTCCCTGTCCAGAACTGGATTCCTTTTTCTGCAACAAGAAAGTCTACTTTCTCAGTGGATTTCAGTTCTAGAATAAGTCTATATTGATCTGCAAGCCGGCTTGAACTTCACAGCAAATTTTAAGCTGTTGCATAAGGAAGAGATGACATGAAAAAGCAGAAAAGTTTCTGAGCTGACTAGTGACTTTGAGTGACCAACAGGTGGTGATGACAAATGGCATTTTATAGAAATTCGGCCTTTAAAAAGAATCCATATGAATCCCTCAAAATACTGGTACTAACTGAACCAGCAATATTTGGAGACAGCAGTGACTCAGTGTGTACAGTTTGAGCCTAATTTGAGGATGTTAGGCAGTAACCTACCCCTGTTAACACATGGCTAACCCCCTAATTTCTGTACATAAATGCACTCTGCCATTCTGGGCAGATGTGGAGGCAGCTTGATTTCCTTCAAACTGGAAAGAGAATGGGGAAATGAATAATGAAACAGAACTGAAAATAACCCCCTATCTGGACATTCTAATATAACATTGATAGGCTGGGAGAGAAGGGGAGGGAGCTGTTGTTTTAGGTGAAGCCTGCACAAAGCAATAGATGAGGAAAGGAGGAGGAGGGAAACACAGTTTTCCAAAATTCTGAAATTTCCTGTGCCAATTTTTCTGGAATATCAGCTACCTCTGCTGGAAGGAGATAACTAAGAGGATGGGCTCCTCCTAGGGTTTAGGTTCATGTACATTTCGAGAAGCCCTGAATTTTGCTATTTTCTCCCTCAATTGGAAATCTCTCTATAAAACCTTTCTGTGCAGGAGTGCACAGAAGACAGCATGGCTACATTTTTTGCTTCTGGTGCTTATGACAGGCCATGCTGGATGCTATCACAGTTACCACCTGCATGAATAATAGAATGTATTTATCAGATAGCCGTACCTACTGCAAAAGGGAAGTTTTGGGTTGATCCCAAATTAAAGGATTTGTCTCCTCCCTTATGGGATGCAGAGCTAGGACTGAGCTCAGCTCTCCTCCCTCCCTGTGAAGCAAAGTCACTAGTCCCAGAACCTGATCTGCCCCCCCAAATGTTTAAATGTTCTGCACAAAAAGAAATAGCAAGTCACTGGTACCCGTCTCTTTTGTAGTAAAAAATCACTGTTCATCCAGCATGGAAAAACTCAGAACCCCTTCCCAGCATAGGGTAATGGTCTTTCCCTGCAAAGGCCATGTGGATTCAAGGCCCCTCAGACCACAGCCATGCAAACTGTATCCAAAAAGATCAGGCAAAGAAGAGAACCAGCACTTCCCTCTTTGTTCTTTCCTCATCTACAAGTACAGAGAAAATTCCACTAAAATTCCACTAAAACCCGGCCTTTGAAATTCATATACTGTGAGAAGAAAAAAGGAACTAATCTGGTGCTACTAGAGACGGCAGCACGACTGGCAGCCTATTGTGTATTCCTTCCTCTGACTCCTTTTGGGAGCTGTGGGGCAGAGCCCTGCCTGCCCAGGCACGTAGGAACCAGCAAACGCACTCTGGGGCGCGAGTCACGCACTGATCGGGAGGATGCTCGCTACTAGCAAAGCCTTGCCATGGGGGAGCTGGGCAGAGGCACGCAGTGACACTTACCTCGCAGTGATAGCACTCCACATGGTAGTCTTTGTCCATTGACACTACTCGAATTGTCTCCTCGGAGCCCTGTTGGGGAAAGCACAAAGAAGGTAAGAATGTGTTTTTAAGTGGTGTTTTCTCTATCTTCTTTGAGTGCCCAGCTTATAGCTTTGGAAAGCTGCTTCCCAGGAGGATCCCCTCTCCTGCAGAGCAGAGCATGCTGAGGGTCTTGCCCCACTAGGCACAGCGCTGCACCACTGCTTTTGCAGTTCAGCAGCAGCACGGGTATCTGACAGAGCTAAGCTGTAGAGGTCCTTTGGGAAGTGTAGCCAAAACTTCATGCTCAAGGGACAAATTTCTCTTGAGATCAAATCATTTTCCAAGGGCACCCAGGATTTGCACAAATTACCAGCCAAACAACATGACTTACTGATTGGGTCACTCTTCCCTATAGAAATCCTGACCTGATCTTTCCAGGACTATTCCCCTCAAACCAGATGGTACACAGATATTTTGCACACACGTGTCACTCTATGTACCCCATGGCGATTTACATACTAGTCCAGCAGGTAATTATGTGCACAGGCCAAAAACCTCAGCATGAGGGTGGATGTAGTGGAGTTGTGTAATACCTGGCTGAGCCCCAGGCCCTGCTGAGCAGCCCATACCCTTCTTCTAACCTCACAGACTTTCTCTGAGCCACTCTGATGCCTCTGAAGACAGAACTCATTAAATTTGCTGCCCTGCATTGTTTCCAGTTGCAGGCGTGGTCAGAGCATCAGATATGACGTAGCCTACGTCTAAGAGAAGCTGTAGGCAAGTTAGCACCTGCACTGCTAGTTTTGATCTAACCTATGAAACCTCCATGGGAAAGAACATGGAGTCTATCCCGCTAACCATCAGATGAGTCAGCAGTAGGGCTGCTTTTTCTTCTCTTTTCTTTTTATTTACTTTTGTATCTAAATATATATATTTGTATTTATATTTTATATGTTATATATATATATATATATATATATATATATAATTTTGTAAGACACAAAACCAAGGGAAGTTTCCATAGGGCTTTTCTCCTTACACCCCACCAGCAGGGCAGGTAGTTCTGTCTCAGCCTTTATAAGGTTTTAAATTATGTGAGACTTCACCGTTTAACAGAAAGAATTACAAATGGAAAATAACATGCAGAGTGGTAGAGGTGGGCATGCTGAGAGAGGCTCTATCCCTAAGCTTTACTGGGGCACAGCAGCTTACAGGCAGCAAGCTCTGGCTCTATAAACATGCCAAAGAAGAGGAGTGAGATGCTGAGGCTCTTGCTTGTGAATGAGCTGGTCAGTGACCTCAGCAATGGGAACTCAGAGGGTCCTACACAAACATCACTGCAGCAGGCAGAAAAGGATTGTCTTAACGTACAAATCTTACTGTATTCACGACACTGCCACAATGGACTGAGGTTGCAAGCAGCAGTCATTCATCTGGCTTTCCTTTTAGCCATCCTTTCTACCTGCTTTTCCACCCCTTCAAGCACTCATTACAGTGCCACCCCAGGATGACAGGCTATGTGGCCTTTTCACAGGGTCAGGGTAACCCCTCAGAAGTCTTTTCAAGCTTGGGCATCTTCACACATTCCATCAAAAATGCAAACACAGCTCAAACAGCAATTTTCCTTGTCTGCTAATGGGAGATTCTAAAAATAAACAGGGCTTTACTTCTTGGGTTGTTCTTGGAGCCCTGGTCAGGGCTTTCAATTAAACAAGATTTATAACAGCATAATCAAGACCTGGAAAGCACCCTAAAGATACAAAGTACTACGCTGCATAAGTGCTATGACTATTACAACCTCTGGGAATGTTTGGGAGTGACACTACTGCTGAACTGTATTTAATTTAGTATCTGACATACTACAGCCTCTGAAAGAGGGAGGAAAAGCATCTAATGTGTTTTTGCGAAGTGTTCATATGCCAACAGCTGTTTTCTCTAGAGTCTGTGCATGTTAACACGTACCTGTGCTGGTAGAATCGGCTGGTTACAGGAAGCACATTTTGGTGCGAAAACCCTAGGGTGCAAGAAGAAATTGTTCAAATTACATGCAAAGCTTCTCCAAAAAGTAGAACCAAGCCTTCTCATTAGCAAAATGTAAATCCAGGTTTGTATTTTTTGGTAATATTTCGTGAAAAGGAAGTTTACAAAGGCAGATCTACCCCACACCTTTACTGCATAGGTCTTCCTGACCTCTAGGCATAGTCAGTCCAGCCCTACTCCCATATATGCCCTTTCTCTCAGCTTTCTTTACTCTTAAAGTTGTTCAAATTTTGCAGAGCACCTCACGACCCAAGGAATGTCACCAACTGACACACTAAGTGTGAAAGGGTCTGATCTTGGCTAGGACCTACTTAAACCAAATACATCAACTGGTTTTATCCACAGCTGTACTTTGTGACAGTTACTGAGCCAACATTTGCTCCATCCTCACCAAGCAGTCAGTTAAACCAATAGGGCTGAGTTTAAAGTGCAGAGCAGAAGGGAGTCCAAAAGCAATCACTTAACCACAAAACATTTTGTAAGGTGAGGCTAAAATCATTCTAACACTAGCTGCTAATTACATGTCTACTGTCCAGTCTAGGTTAATGTAACTTATACTCTCCAGTGATGCGCTACCAGAATCTAGACTTATGAAAGCCAGCAAAACCTAACATCATTGCACAATTAGCTATGTCTACTTCACGTTGAAAATCCTGAAAGCAGTAGAGAAGCAGCCACCAGAGGAATACATCCTCTGATATAACTTGATTTTCAACCTCACCTAGCCCCTGAATGTCACACTAGGCCCACAAAGTGACATTTAAAACTTTAAAACACTTTACAAATGCAAAATGTCAGAAGAGCACTAAGGGACATCACAGCAGACAGAAATAACCCTTTTTATCTGCTGCAACGCTTACAACTATACCAATAATTTAACTTGTATAATTTTTCCAAGCATGCACTGGATTTATTTACTTACGTATGGTAGTCTTTGACACAGTAAATATTGTTTTCCACATCTACAGTGAAGGGGACTCCATCCAAACACTCGTTACATACCACACAGCGGAAGCAGCCAGGATGGTATGACTTTCCAAGGGCCTGCAAGATCTTAAGAGGCAAAACAAAATAAGTGGATGCATGATTACATGAGATCCCCCATCCACTGCTATCTCCGACTCTTAAAAATTACAGTAAGAAACACAATTCAGAATGAAATTACCACTCTGGAGATCTGTCAGCAAGGGGCCGTTTAAAACAATGAGCTTGCTTATTTCTGTGGGTTTCTATTAGGCTCCCAATGATGACAGAGAACTGTGAAAATCAGACTAAGTCCCATCACTTTTAGCTCTGCAGAGCCAATATTGCCCAATAGAAATTAAAAATAGTTTCAGTGACTACTTCTTGGAAAAATCTGTTGCAGATACAAGTTATTGAGATACAGAGTTAATTCACAAAATGTAACAGGCTGTGACAGAGAGTCCAAACGAGTCATTATTAAAATCTACAAAGTA